CCTGTGCTGCGGTAGCACATGGCTGTCTCGTGTCCAGCTTTTCGTCTATCAGTGCCCCCAGGTCCTTCTCGGCAGGGCTGCACACAATCCCTTCATCCCCCAGCCTGTACTGATACCGGGGGTTGCCCCAACCCAAGTGCAGGACCCTGCACTTGTCCTTGTTGAACCTCATGAGGTTCCCATGGGCCCACTTCTCGAGCTTGTCCAGGTCCCTGTGGGTGGCATCCCGTCCCTCAGGCGTGTCAATCGCACCACTCAGCTTGGTGTCATCTGCAAACTTGCTGAGGGTGCACTCGATCCCGCTGTCTATGTCATTGATGAAGATATTGAACAGCACCGGCCTCAGTACAGACCACTGAGGGACACCGCTCGTCACTGTTCTCCACTGGACATTGAGCCGTTGACCGCTACCCTCTGGATGCGACCATCCAGCCAATTCCTCATCCACCGAACAGTCCACCCATCAAATCCGTATCCTTCCAATTTAGAGAGGAAGATATTGTGGGGCACCATGTCAAAGGCCTTACAGAAGTCCAGATAGATGACATCCGTAGCTCTTCCCTCATCCACTGATGTAGCTATTCCATCATAGAAGGCCACTAGGTTGGTCAGGCTTCTTCTGTGATTCTATTCTATCATGATTTAATGTTTCTTCTAAATTGAATGAGTCTATATACTTGGACTTAATACCTTGACACCTATGGCGGTGGGATACTTGAACCGTGCACTGTGTAGTTGTTTCTTTTGGCCCTGTTTCAGGGTATATGTCAAAATGGAAGATAACAGGCTCATGTTGTGTTTACCCTAATCTTTAACTGGGTTAAAGCTGAGAAGGGTAGTCTTACCTTATTCCCTTTTTGGAACTGGTAACAGTGTGCCTGCAGGTAAGTTGGATCAGATTGTTGATCAACTGAAGAGACACTGGTTTTCTGATGACCCTTATGGTCACATGCTTGGAAGAGCTGAAGAGGGAGGAGCAGAACCTTCTCTTTCAGTGGAAGTCTTAAAGCAGACTGGATTAGGCCAACTGTGAAACAACACTCCAAGTGATTAAAGTCTGTTTAAAGAGGAGAACAGAATGGCATAGGTGAGGAGAGGCTAGCAAAATGTCGTCTGTCATAGACAGAGTCTGACGAACACTTTCTGGATTTTGCAACGAAACCCGACAGCTGTTCTGCTGTCCTGGGCTTTGCTAGCTTGAATTACTGACAGAGGAAAATTGATTCTGTGTTTAGGGGAAAAAGAAATTAGAAATTTGGGCTGTCTTGCTGAGTTGTTGCTGCTAGTTGTTCAGAATTCCTGTACAATCATGACTTGGAGGACATTTATGTTTCTTCTCTAGGCCATAGATGCAGTCTAGAGTATTGATGCTACAAAAAGGGCTAAGCAATTATTTATGCAAGTGTGAAATCCTGGGTTGAAAACAAAACAAAACACAAAAACCCCAATACCTACCTGGCACTCGGTCATCGTTTATCTATCTTGCCTACTGCCATGGTTATTTTGGAAGAGGGTGAGTTAGATGTCAAAATATGCCAAACAGAGAAAGTGGTAGTAGCTTAGAAAAAGTTAGGGTGTGAACAGGTAATAGATAAAATGATAGTTTTGAGATGTGATGGGAGGAAACAGACTCACTCTATATGTCATGCTTTTGTATCAAAGATGTGAGTAAGGAATCCAGATGCTCTTGAGATTTGAAATCTTGGTGAAGAACAGAGATGGAAAGCAGGGGTGGAATTTAGGACAGAAGGTTAAAAGCTTTGTTTTAATCTTAAATTTGAAAAGGCAGTGATACCCGCCCCCCCACCGCCCCAAATTGCGTGATGTTCCTGAAGTGTATAGAGGTCAGATTTCTTCTCTGATCCCGAGACAGCAAAATCACTGCTTTGGTCTTATGGGTAGATGGAGGCTTGTAATTATATAACAAGATATTAAGCTATTCTGTTTGAAAACCAAAACACCCTGGCGTGGATTAGAGTGAAACATTTACTAGACTAGTTTGGAGTATTATAGGCATGTGCTGCTCATGTAAAGATAATGCGTACTTACAAAGAAAAGTAATAGCAAACAAGAAAAGACACTTTAGTCTTGGTGTTGCAGCATCAAGACATGCAAGTGAAAAAATATCTTCAGATATTCTTATTTTTCCTCTTAATTTTAATCTGTAGCCAGAATTTTCATACTTTCTCATCTGCATATCTGTGTGATGTTTGCTAAATCTTACGCCATATTTTGAAAAATTGAGGGAAAATTGAGTACTTTTGAATGACAGTTACTTTTTGCCAAATATTGCCCTTTATTACTGAAGCACATCAGTTGCGCCTAAGCATCATGGATGTCACCATACTTAATTACTTATTTCTGAGATGGTTTGGGTGAGTTTTCTGAACCTATAATGATACACTTAAGAAAAGGAGGCTAGAATCCAGACATATGGAAATTAATCTTACTTTTCTCTTCATTACAGGCATCGCTTTCACAGATTTACCGGTAAGATATTAGTGCATTTTCAAACAGCTTTCCCCTTTGTATTATAAACAGATGTTTCAGATGTAACTTGCATTTACTTATGCTTCTTGAAAATACAATGATAATCTTCTTAACCAATTTAATATCAGATATTTCTCCTTATCGTTTCAGTGGTGATTTGTTAATTGAAGCAAAAAGTTTTTTGTTTTTACACTGATCCTCACAGGGGTTTTCCTTTTCAGGTTTTTAACAGGCAGTTCTAATGGAAGCTTAGCAGAAAACAATACATACAAGTAGTTATTACATACTTTGTTCGACACATGCAGGCCTTGTGTACAAAGTCAAAGCTATATTAAACACCAACACGGTGCATGTGTGTACAGCTGTGTATCATATGCAGAAAGGCTGGCTACTTAAGACATAGTCACTGTAACTCATGCTTGATGCCTAATTTTCAAAATCTTTCTCTATACTGTTCATACGATTAAACATACCAGAGTAATTTTTTTTTTTTAAGAAAGCTGCAAGTATCTGAAGTCTTCTAGCTTTTCAGTCAATTAAATTGTATGTTCCTTAAAATTGTTATGTGTTCCCTGTGCTACTGGTACAGGCACGATACTGCACTTAGTTTTTTTTTTTTCTCATCCATTTCATTTCTGATTTAATCTGGTTAGGGTGCACTTCCATCTGGCCAGCTACTCAGTTTGCTAGGGCCTTAGGAGGCAAGGACAGATACTAAGGAAAAATGAAGTCAATAACCCAGGGCGCCTCTCAGCCCCGCCACAGGGTTGGGTGCTTCGTGTAGGAAGGCACTGCCGCTCTCCCAGATCTGTGGGATGCCAGCAAGGCTCCTTGCTAGCACACGGTACCAGCACAGGAAAACTGACGCTGTCATCTGAAGTTAGAAGCTGGACCCCTCCTCATTAGAATCGATTGTTTTCATATTATTAAAAGATTTGAGACTTGTGCTTTGTTGTTTAGTCTAGACTAGGTAACACTATGAGCAAGGTTTATTTAAAAAAAAAAAGGGGGGAGGGGGGGAGTGGAAATGGGGGGGGCAAGATCGGCTTGGGCACGGTTTTAACAACCAGAGTATTTTTCTTTAATTTCACTGGGTTTCAGTGTTCCTACTGACCTGCATGTTGATAACTTCTTACTGATAGCTTTAGTTTATTTAGCATATAGTTCTGTAGATCAGTATACCGTTATACCATACCACCCTTGATTGCCGTGTAAATATGATATAGGTATATTTATAAACAAAAAAAAAAAAACAGCAACAAGACCCCATCCAAAACCCCAACTGATTGCATTGCCATTGCTGAGATGCTAGTTGCATTTACGAAAGTTACTTTAATCCCAACAGGCAGATTTTATTTTTCTCATATTTGGCATATTTCAAATTTGCATGGAGACCTAATCTCTAAGCAGAAAATAAAACTGAGACAACAATAAATGCTTTAAAGTCTTTTTCTAGATACAAGTCCAGGAATTCACGAGAACTTCAATGCACTGTTACAGTTCTTTTTAGGCGCTACACTTGGACTTTGAGGCTAATGAGTTCTCTATCCTGTCAGTTCTTACCACTAAAATTCAGCGATGTTTTAAGTATTTCACCCCAAAAGGAAAATGGCCCACTTTGTAAGTTTAATTTTTGTTCTCTTATTAAAAGAAACTTTAATCCTGGTCTTTAAAAATCATTAAAAAATCGGTATTTAATATTTTGTAAAATTGAAACCAAAAGTTGTAAACTTTAGCAGAGTTTTAAAAGTGCATTTTCTGACTAGAAACGGAATGATCACTAAGGCTTTCTTATTTCAAAATAAAAAAATTATGACCACTGGGAATAAAACGAATTAGTCATTGTATTGCTGGATTGGTAGAAGTTGCTTTAACTGCTGGACAGATGGTCTAGAGGTATTCGCTTCTTCACACTACTAGTAGCAGTGGGGATATTATTACAGAGATGAAAAAAAAAGAAAGTGAGGAGTTTAGAGTAAGAGGAAAAAACTAATTAAAAAATTTCTTGCAGCCAAACTTGTACCCTACAGTAGGGCTTCAAACACCAGGAGAGGTTGTGGATGCTAATTTTGGACAACACCCGTTTGTATTTGATATTGAAGACTATATGCGAGAATGGAGAACGAAAATTCAAGCACAGATTGACAGATTTCCGATAGGAGATCGGGAAGGAGAGTGGCAAACAATGATTCAGAAGTAAGACTTTGAATATTGTTCATTTAAAAAAAAATATTAATAATTACGTGATTTCAGAGATCTTTAAAACATTGTGCCTATTGTCTTGTTGAAAAAAAAACTACAGCTTGTATTAAAAATGAGTACAAATAGTTTTGTTAACATAACAGGTTTGATAAACCTATAAAATTGAGCATGAATAGATGTTTGGGGAAGAGTTATCTACATCATGAATAATTAAGAGTTTATAATGATGATTGGAAGCCTTCCATTCCGATTTGACCTGTCTAATGTGGATTGGGGAGTTCAGAAAAATTGCCATGGTCGTAATGGGCAGTTTTAATACTTTGGGCTCTGGAAGTTTCCCTTTGCATTCTCAGCCTTCAGCGTGCCAGGTTAACTTGTATCTCATTAGTGTCTCACTTGGAAAAATGGTGGTTGTGGCTTTGCATTTTTTATTTCTTCAGTGAAAACAAAAAATTAGTGTGCAGAAATTTCACTTCAGTGTATGTAACGAGCAAAAAAAGAAACCTAATTAGCAGGTAATATTTTAATTGAGCTTAACGTTGGGTGATGAATCATTTTTATTAAAATTCATCATCATAAAGTGATACTTTGATTTTTTTAAATTGTTTTTCTGTACAGTGTTTTGAAGAAGATACTGGCTCTTAACTGAATTACTTTTGTCTGACTTGTACAGAAATTTCTGAATTTCAAGTAACATTCTTTAATTCAGTCACTTTTTTTCAGAAAAGGGTTTTTACATTCAAGAAGTTCTTGGTTTCTTACCTGTATTTAATGAGTGTTTCTGGGTTTTGTTTTTGTTTATTTTTAGAATGGTATCATCTTACTTAGTTCACCATGGATACTGTGCAACAGCAGAGGCATTCGCCAGATCCACAGACCAGACTGTGCTAGAAGAATTAGCTTCCATTAAAAATAGACAAAGTAAGGCTGGAAAGCACGTTACATCCTTTTTTTCCCTCCCTTAAACAAATATTACATAAAACTTTCTCTTAAGCATCATTGTAGAATTCCCTTTCAGCACTACTCCATAGTACAATTCTTTGCTGTCATGTAAAGTTACACACGTATGAACAGCTGGTTAAGATGAACTTCCGCACTAACGCTTTGGAACTTGTTTGATGTGGCGGAATGTGGTAAATTACCTGTTGTCTTTCTCTTGAATGGAAAATTGTGATCTGACTTAAAGTCTCTAAACGAGTGTTTGTGAGAGCTAATGGTCAGTCACAAACAGGAATATAAAACTTAGTCTTGACAAACTTTAGACTTTCATCTTAACTGTGAAAAGGGGTAGAGTTTAGAGAATGCTTTGTAAGTTAAATCAAATTTGAGTTCTCCTGCTTACAGATGTGAGGGGGAAGAGGACAAGGAGAACTAACAGCAGTTCAGTTCTGACTTGCTGTGGCAGTGCTGTTTGGCCGCCTGATTAAAGAGTGCCTTCCCCATTCATTTAAATCCCTGCTGCATGAACACAAGCATTTGTGTGACTGCACGACGTACCACATGGGGAAACTGCTCTGGTTGAAAAACAACCCGTTCGTTGGGCTGTTTTTCATTTGGATCAGTTTCTCTGTTGGTGGATAGAGCCGTGAGGCTGTTTGCGACTTGTGCCAGGTTACAGCAGCAGAAGCATCAGCTAAAGCAGGGACTGTTGTGGAAAGCTTTAGTCAACCTGACTGAAGTACACGTTGTAGGTGAGAGAGACTAAATTTTGTTTTCCTTAGTCAAAATTGAATCTGTGGGAGTGGGATGCAATTTGGAGGTTCTTGGGTGACAATAGTTTGGTATGTACTTATTTATAAAGGTGTGAAAATGAGAAATAAATCGCAGAAGAGTGGCTGCAATCTTAATCTAGCTCTAAATGTGCAATCTGAGTACAAAGTAGTTGTATGCTGGCAATAAATAAAAGTATTGAGTACTTATTTAGATACATGCAGGTGGAGTGCAGTTCTTAAATTTTCCTATTGAACGTTTTAAGGAAGCATGATCTTTCTTTACACTAATTTTTTTTCTAAGAGGAAAAATCCTTGTTGATTGATGGTTGCAGTGTCTTTTAATCGTTAATTTTCATGTATTAATCCATAAGCTGTCCATTTAACTGATGTTGGTTTTGGTGAACAGAAATTCAGAAATTGGTTTTGGCAGGATGAATGGAGAACCCGTTGAAACAACATAACAGCTGTATCCAAGTTTAATAGAAAAAAATCCTAATCTCTTATTTGTTTTTTGGTGAACAGGAATTCAGAAATTGGTTTTAGCAGGAAGAATGGGAGAAGCCATTGAAACAACACAACAGTTGTATCCAAGTTTACTAGAAAGAAATCCTAATCTCTTATTTGCATTAAAGTGAGTCTTCAAATTATACAGATGTGTGTTTATAGATGGCACAGTACCTTCTGAGACAAGACAGTTACTCATTTAAAGCTTTCACAGAAATTTAAACAAAGTTAAGCAGCGTTTTTTAGAAAATGTGTATAGTTCACTTTTTTAATGCTGTATTATTTGCTACGTGTTTAACTAGGTTTTGTCATCAAGGTCCTGTTTTGCAGCATAATTCACATCTCACTGTAGTCTTGTTCTCTAGAACTAAGTTTTGTCATTTTTTAAATCAATTTTAATCAGTTTGGGTGTCAAGTAGAACTTGAAACGTAAACTGATACAGTGTCATATTCAAGAAGGTTAAAAGTCCTGTTGGCATAAGTTGGTCTGTTCCTCCAAATGGGTGACTGACTTTAAAGACCAGTTTCAGTGAGCTGTTTCACTCATGTCACTTCACTAGAAACCTGTGGCTAATACTGTGGAAATTCCATAATCCCAAAGAGTTCTCGTGGCTTCCCAGGCACACAATAGTCACTTTCATTCTGGCATTTTTACTTGCCAGCTGCGCTGATCCTCCAGAATTTTGTATCGCATTGTAGTGTTGAATGCGGAAAAAAACTGTTATCTCCTATAAGAACAAAGCACTTTAATTTTTGTGTTCAGTTAAGTACCTTGGAATGTGTTTGAAGTCTGTCACGCTCAAGTGCTGAACAGAATTCACGTGATAGTACTGCAGACTTATCACAGAATTCACAAAATGCGAACATTTTGATGAAAGACTTCACTCGATAACGTCAACTGTATGTTACCTTTTTCTCAATCTGTCTTTCTAATTTTTGCCTGTTCTATTGAGGCTATCCAAGCCTAAAATATAAAGCAGTAGTTCTGAGCTTCCTTAAAGTCCATAGTAAAACCTCCTTATCTAAAATAAAATTGACAGAGCAACAGCCTCTAAAGGGAAGGTTTGTATATGAGCTTGCTTTTCAAACTGTTTTCTAGTGCAAATGTTTAATGTTAAGAGTTACCGTTTAATGCTTACTGTTCCAGACAGTCAAACTATGTTCTCATTTACTTTGAGAGAAATGACAGACATGACAACGTAACGACATATCCTTCTCAAGAAATAACCTTGCCCCTGCCAATAAAACAAAGCAGTTAAAACAAAAGCAAATATAGTTTAGCTCTCTAAACTTTGAGGACTTATTGACAAAGTCTGTCCTCGAAGGATAATATTCCTGTTCTCCTCCCTCACGAATTTTGTAATTGTGTATTTTTGGCTGAATACTCCAAAGCTTATTGATGATTGGATTACTGACATCCAGCATTTTGTTGAGTCAGACTTTTTGTATATTTAACACTAAAATGAAGTCATTGCTATCGTTGGTAAATTGAAATGTGTAAATTGTTTTATTAGCTTAACTTTTTTGCCTTTTGTTTAGGGTGCGCCAGTTTATAGAGATGGTGAATGGTACAGACAGTGAAGTGCGGTGTTTGGGAGGCCACAGTCCAAAATCTCAGGATAGTTACCCTGTTAGCCCACGATCATTCAGTAGTCCTAGCATGAGTCCCAGCCATGGAATGAATATCCACAATTTGGCAACAGGCAAAGGGAGCAGCACACACTTTTCCGGTAAGTTGATGTGGAGGATGTACCACATAGATTTGGATATACCACACCATACAGATGGGGTATTTTTTTACAATTAAGTATTGGGAAAAGTTACAAGTACTCGCAGAGTACAGTTTGTTTTACTTAAGAGTTGATAATGAATGCTTTGTATGAAAATATAGTTTTAATAATTAAAATGTGATTCTCAGTCACTAGGGAAGTGGGAAAGTCTATAAACAGAATCGCATCTTTTTTTGCATGTGCTCTTGGTCTTACTAAGGGTTTGCAAAGCAGGTTGCCACTGATTTCTAAGAAATGCTGCTTCCGGGAGGTGGAAGGTTCTGACACAAATTTCTGTTGTCCTTTCGATGATGATTTATGACTTGGGCAAGGTGGTTTACATCCAGTAAGTGGTGTATACGATCCATTTCCTATAGTATTTATGGAGTAGTAGGAACAGCTGCCCTTGCGTAGGAAACACCAGAAGCTAGGTGGTGGGGTTAGGTAAAAGGCTTTCTGCAGGCAGCCAGATTTCAGTCTGCACAGTTGAAACGGTTCTGAGAGTGTCTAGGTGGTGGTAAAGCTTCGGTGGGAAGCCCTGAATGTTCAGAGCTGCCCCATGCCTGTGGGGAGGTCCCCGTGCCTTCCAAAGCAGCCCTGCAGAGAAGAAGTTGGGCATGTTAAAATGGTGCGTGAATGTGTCATCTTTGAACCCAAGGCTCTTGAGGTAGCAGCGGCCATGAGCTTTCACTTCTGTTTCATGCTTAAAGCCAAACTGGAGCTGACTGGGGGCAGCTTCCCCCCTCCCCTCGGTGGGATTGAGTAGGAAGCCAGCGTCGCCTGGCCACCAGAATACCCGCTGCCCTTGGAAAGGCAGCAGCTTCGCTTTTCTTCCCTCTGTGTCAAGGCTGTGCTGTCAGGTGTGTGAGTGGGGGTCCGCTCAGATCTCCTGTTTGTTGAGCAGGTGGTTATTGGGATGTATTGTAGAAAGCACCCCTAACTTTGTAATTTTGAAAATAGAGGCACCACTTAATAAGCAAGTTGATGAATGTATTATGAGAGTTGAGGTTTGGGATTTCCTGAATGGCAGCAACTGTTTTGTTTATAACGAGCCCTTCCTGTGACCTGTTTCTATATTAGAAGATACTAGGGGGCTCCTGCTTTTGGGCTTGATAGAACTGGCAATTACATCTTTGCTTCAAATAGTAGCTTCTTGATTATATTTTAGAAGGGTCAGAAGAGATTTTAGCCAGACATCATAATTTCACAGCATGGTGTAATTCTATTTAGCAAAGCACAATATTAACAATTAAAGTAATTATATGGAGAAGGAGGGAGGTTGTATTTAAGTGTAGCAACATGCAAAGTATTTTCAGCACTGAATTTTACTGCATATTTATCAAGAGAATTATGTGATTAGGAATTAGTAAGATGCCATGTCTGCTTCCATTCATAATGATTATGGCGGCCTAGAAAAGATTTTCAGATCTTTTAGAAACAATGTATCAGTTCTAGAAAATTGTTCTAAGTTGATGCAGTTTTCTGTTTTACTGGTGTCTAAGTACAACTGAAGAACCTTCTCATGGATGTGTTAGTACTTGTTAAAAAATGCTTAACTTCTGCACTGTAGGAGCCTTAGAGGTTCAAATATCTGAAACACGGAGGCGAAGTATTTGGGTTTGTGTTTGGCAAATCCACCGTTTACTGACCAGAAACAATTAAGCTATACTTATTTCACTTCTAGAAATCGGTAATTTCAAATAAGTTTGTAGATGATTACAATTATTAAAACTTTCTTTCAGGGTTTGAAAGTAGTTGCAGTAATGGAGTAATATCAAATAAAGCGCATCAATCGTACTGTCACAGTAAACACACGACTACCAGCTTGAATGTACCAGAGCTCAACAACATAAATGTATCAAGATCACAGCAGGTTAACAGCTATTCCAGGTGAATAAACTTCAGATGCTTCTAACTTACATTAAGGCTTATATTGCCGAAAGGAGTTTTCAGTGGGATTTGAACAGTAAACACACGACTACCAGCTTGAATGTACCAGAGCTCAACAACATAAATGTATCAAGATCACAGCAGGTTAACAGCTATTCCAGGTGAATAAACTTCAGATGCTTCTAACTTACATTAAGGCTTATATTGCCGAAAGGAGTTTTCAGTGGGATTTGATGTGATGTGATTTTTTTTTTTTTTTTTCAAGGACAGTTAAAACATACAGTGTAAGGGGCCAACAGCTTGTGATCACTCTAGTGTGCTTTTGTTTTAACTTCTCCAGTTCAATAGATTGTTTTCTCCTGTTTGGTTAAAGAAACGCAACAGACAAAAATAAATTACCTTGCTTGTAGCTATTTATGGTCAGTTTTGACGTTGCGTAATGAAGATTAGCTAGCTCTCTGGCACTTGGGACTTTAATTTAAGCCACTGACACTGATTTAAGCATGTTGCGTGTAGGTAATGAAAAGTTTTCCAGATACTCTCCGTTTGTGGCAGTATCTGCAAAGTAAACACAACTGAGATGCATGTGAAATGTGGACTCCCTTCCGTTGCATACACAATAATTGTTTGCCAACTCCAATCACTGTCACTTGTGCAAACACACTCAATTCAGAGAATGAAAATAGATGTATTAACCAGGGTTAATATGGTTATTCATAACCAGTAAATATTAAGCTCTGGGTTGCACAGATGCAGCAGAACCTAATTTGATGTGAAATACAACAGTACTTGGCTGCATTGTCCAGGATGGATTCCCAAAACTGCAAACTATGACGTGATGATGTGGTGGTGATAACACAAAGTATTTTAGTTGGATAGTGATGATGGGGGAGGGGAGTAAGAGTACCAATTTACTTTTTAACTTCATTATTTGTATTTGCGTCAGCAATTGCCTCTGCCAGAACGCCTGGCAGTGTCCAGGCAACTTTGAGATTTCTCACAGGAGGAAGGCAATTGCTTGGCTGCAGTGTTGCCCAGTCAGAGAGGCCTTTTGGTTTCCTTCCTCAAAGGAAGCTGAGTATTTTTGGTTGCTTAGAAGCAAGATATTAAACTTCTAAATTGAATCTTTTTGGTCTTGAGAGAGGTTTTAGGTTGTCATTCTCCGTGACAAAATAGAACAGGCTAGGATGTAACTGTCAGCAAAGCTCAGTCCCAAAGCCATGCTGGCATTTTCTAAAAGTGCTGCTGCGGCCTGCTGGCGAGCAAAGTGTGGTGAGGAGTCGTATGCCCTGAATTTGCCTCTGAGTATCTCTTCAGCGCCTTGGTTTACTCAGTATTTGCTTTGGGTTTTTCTTCTTTTTCCCTGTCATTTCACTGAGACTAAATGAGAAATCAAGGCTTTTTTTTGAAAGAACTATTTACCTAAATAGGATATTCTCAAAGTAGGCTGTATATTGAGTTAACTGTGGTTTTTTTAAAAAAAGAAAGTGGGAATAGTATATTTTCTCAATGCATTTTCTCCAGCTCTATGGATGTACGGATATATAAACAAGGTAAGAACTTTTTGGCGTGTATTTAGAAAGTCTTACACTACTTACTCCTGAATAATGGTGGACGTGTTTAATTTTTCAGCATCTGAAAGTGTTATTTTACTGAATGCTAATGTTAGTTGAGAGCCTTAAAATGTCACTGGTGCTCTGGTCTTGCCAGTTGCTACGGAAAAAACCTGTGGTCTAACTTGGTGATATTTAAAAGCAGCTTTTCGGTAGCCAAAATGAGGAAGTACTGTGCTGAAATTGTGAAGAAGATAGCCCTAAGAACTTAAATTTGAGTAAAACTTTTATTTATTACTCTCTTTTCAGCAACGATGTAGACATGGAAACAGATCACTACTCCAATGGGGTTGCTGAGACTTCATCCAATGGCTTCCTAAATGGTAGTTCTAAACATGATCACGAAATGGAAGAATGTGACACAGAAATGGGTCTGCAGTGATATTTCTTACATTTTTATTAAGTGATGGCAACAAGGTTATGTTTTTACTTGCAATGCTTCCCAGCTTGAAAATTAGGGATATTTGCTCAAGTCTTAATTCCTTTTGTTTGTTCGTTTTGCTGTTACTAGACGTAAACCTTGTAACCACTGATTTAGGTGGCCCAATGTCAGTGTGAGAAGAGGGGAAATTGGTAACTTACGGATATTGAAGCTAGCATCCATTTCTAAGGAAGTGCCTTTGAGAAGAAACATCCTGTTGCGTGGCACACGGGGGTTAGGGCTGGCAGATGGTTTCTCCCTCTTGCCCCAGTCCTCTTACCGGTCACGGTTCTCATGGCATCTTTGCACCCGACGGTAAGAGGAGAAATGCCAAATCACTTGCACTGAGGAATGCAAAGTGCTAATATTAAATGCTCAAGAAAAGAGCTATATTTGGGAACTGTGAGATGTTAAAAAGTTTTCCACCCAAAAAATACCCTGTTTTACATAGTTGTGGTCTAAAAAATAACTTCTTTACTTAACCTGCTTTATATTCAGTCATACCTGTTGCTGTTAGTGACAAATGAGTACTTAAATACCCTCTGATTGCCGGCACACCCTAAAAAGATACCGTTTACTCTGTCGGTTACGGTGCTACCTGTCCCTGTCCAGTAAAGGCAGTCAGATCACTGAAGCGTGCGCAGGCCGGAGCTTAGACAACGGTTGTTACTGCTGGCTGTGTCTGAAGAAGTGGAAGAATCCAGCCCAGCCATTTCTGCAGCTGCAGAACTATCTTCTCAAACAAGTGATTTAACCGGACATCAATTAATAGGTAGTTTAAATGAAATGTGGAACTCTGGATATCGCCAGTAAACTTCCAGAATGCAGCAGTACTTACAGATACCTATGAACGCTTCACAGTGCCGAGGGCACGTGCTGCTGCTGGTCGCGCAGCTTTGCTGGCAAATCCTAGGTAACTGTGGAAAAGCGAATAGAATTCTGTTACAGCGCTGGAGGGGGGGAGATTCCAATTTCCAGGCTGTTTCCCTGCATTGCGCTCTGAAACCGGATAATAACAAGGCCTCATTTCTGTGACAGAAAAAACAAAACACTTCTTCACTCTCTTGCAGCCTTTTCCACAGAGGCTTGCTGTGACAGACGTGAAGCAGCTGCCCAGGGCACAGAGTTGTTTGTGTTAGTTGTTTTGTTTTTTTTTAATGTAGTTGTTTTCTGCCTTTGGAAAGTCATGTCCTAGATGGGGCTGCAGCTAGCAACAAACACCACTGCTCGCAGACTTGGGGGTGCTTCACCTTTGTAAAAAAGAAATGTGGCTCCTCAACCTACATTGTTTACTCCCCCCAGTTTGAGTTTGGTGGTTTTTTCGGTGGTGTTTTTGCTTTTTGAAATAGTTATATATTCTCCCTAGTGCTGTGCACGTAATGTTTAGTAGGCAGATTTTTTTTTCCAGAGGCGATATGCTCACATCTAAGAAAAAACAAGTCGTCACTTACAAGTCCTTGTTTGAAATAGTGGTCAAAATACATCATTAGATAGCAGTGTTAAAATCAGAAAGAAGAATGGTTTTGTAATTAAAGTGTACGTCAGAATTCTGATTCAAAACTTAATTCCATTGATGAGAAAAGGCAAGGAATGGATAAATGTGGGGGGTTGGGGGGTTTTTTACTGGTTGTTTTAGTTGTAAATTTCAAAGAGGCAGAACTTTTAGAGAAGCCAAGGGTTGATTTACTATTCATAAACTGCATTAATATCTTTTTAAATCACTAGTATTGGGGAATATTGGAGCGAACAGTAAAGAAATGGATGGTAGTGTTCTGCCTGATAACTGAAGAAGCCTGAAATGTCCAAATTATTAAGCTACTGTGTTCTACAAGGAGTATGAACAGTCTAAATGATCATCTTGTAGCAACACCCATCGTGGCTGTTTGGGAAGCTCAGGGTTTTTTAGGCTAAATCCGGAACTGCTAATAGAGACTATCTTTAGAAGCGAAGTCCCAAAGAACTAAAAAGGTAGAACTGTGTGGACTTTTATTGTTGTCGTTACTCATTTTAAACTCCCATAAAATTTTAGGGTAAAATTAGGTTTATAGTCTAGTTAGTTTAAAATTAACCATTGCAAAATACACAGCATCTGTAGACAGCCTTTGCTGTTCGTTAACTAAGTCTCTTAATGTTTATCGAGGAGCAATTCAGCGGTGCTCGGTGTAGGAGCACATTATGCCAAGGTCGCTGGCCCGACGTGCTTTCTCTCTGAGAAGGCAGGTGTCTCTTGAGTGAAATCAGTGCAGATTCTCTAGATCCCTAGGTTGTGATTGTCGGCTCTATTAGCGGTGATGATGACGATATCATTTTTGCAGAAGTAGATTCAAGTCAGTTAAGACGTCAGCTATGTGGTGGCAGCCAAGCGGCTATCGAAAGAATGATCCATTTTGGAAGAGAATTGCAAGCAATGAGTGAGCAACTAAGAAGAGAATGTGGCAAAAACACAGCGAATAAGAAAATGCTCAAGGTATGTTTGATCTTGAAATTGTGGGGTTAAGGTGAATAACTGTGCTGCCCAGCAGAAACTGCATTGCAATACCGTTCCGCTTCAACTTTGCAATTTTTTTTTTGTCTGAGAGCAGTATTCTCGCCAGCTGTGGTGTAGCACTGTCTCCTGTCTTGTCTGTGTAGCACATTCACAGGGAAGATAATTCCATACTGTAATACAATTGAAACCAGAGATGAATTTAGCACTTCCCTCTCTCTCATTTCTGACCATGTAGGTTGGCCTCTTGAATCAAAGTGCTGTTTTCAGCTCTAGTGCTAGATGAACTGCAAGAAAGAGGATTGATACAGATGCCTAAAATGTGCTTTCTTTAGTACTCTCTGTGTTAATTAGTTTACCTTGATTTGAGACTGCTCTGGAGAATTCCCCTGCCAGAGACTGACTGCGTGCAGTTGTCAGTCTGTTTTCTCTTTCCCCATCGCTTATTAAAATACTGCTGACTTTTGTCTTTCTGTTGGGAAAAAGCACTGCTTGCTCAAAATGGAACAAGTCCTGCTACAATTTCTTTTTATCCTTTCGTATTGATGAAGGACACTGAGAATCACCTTTGTGATTCTGAATCAAAAGGGGGGAAGAAAATAGTCCTTGTTTTCACTAGTAGAGTGACAGTAGAGCTGCGAGATGCAATAAAAATCATCTTTCCACAGGATGCATTCAGTTTACTTGCCTATTCGGATCCCTGGAGCAGCCCTGTTGGAAATCAGCTTGACCCGATACAAAGAGAACCCGTGTGCTCTGTACTTAATAGTGCAATACTAGGTGAGTTTTCACGCGTGGCACGGCGTGCCGTTCCTTCCTGCTCGCCACCCGTCGTTTGCTGGGCTTAGTCCTGGGCCGGCTGAGCGACGAACAAAGTACAACAGTGTTACGGTACGCTCGTTTAGTAAGAGAGAGGGGTAGTTTGGGGGACGTATTAATGTAACAGACGTAATCGTCGTCGTTCAAAGTGAAAATGGGCCTGTTCAATAATGGTGCTGTGCAGGGAGTTTAAAAATGTCACTTGGTTGCTCCTGCTCTTGTCTTGCTGTAAGAGCAAACTTTGCAAGCAAACACAGAATTTTGAAACGAATGATTTAATCGAGCTTAAAATTGATGTTTTCAGTGCCATACTGGGCAAGGAATCAGGTATTTTAACTGCCACTGTGATTCTTTCAGAGACTCACAATCTGCCAAAGCAACCGCCGCTTGCCCTAGCAATGGGACAGGCGTCACAGTGTCTAGGCTTGATGGCTCGATCAGGAATCGGATCCTGCGCGTTCGCCACGGTGGAAGACTACCTACACTAGCTATGCATTTGGAGATCTGAAAGGTGTTGTGGCGTATTCAACACGGAAAGTAGACCAGCTCTGCTGACTGGAATTTGGAATTTTAATTACGTACTAAGGACAAGTCTGTCGCTTTATGTTGCTTCCTAGTTTACAGCATGATGCAAATGATTTCTAACTTAGTGTTAGGAGAAAATTTCCATCTTTAAACCTCTTAGACAACTAAGAGTTGAAAATATCACTGATAACGTCAGACATCCAAATTGACAAGTACCAATCCTTTAAACGATTGTCCAAAACAAACCAAAAATCCCGCTACCTTGTGGCGGGACGGGAGAACAGAAAACATGGCTGTATTAGCATGTGGGTGATGTAAGCGTCAAGCAGAATGACTTGCCAACCTCCACCCCCGTTGTTACATAGTTCAATCAGTGTAATTTGCGAAATGCATAAACACCTGATGGTTTGGATATATAGTGTTGATGGGAAGAAATGATATTTTTTAATGTGTACTGTAAAACTTGAATTACTCAGGAGCTGAGTGAATATGTTCGTTGCTACTTACAATCCCAACCTGTTGATCTTAGTAGGTTTTTTTGTTTTAACATGGTCTTTTCAACTTTGTTTCCTTGTTTAACTACGGACAGCTTCTGTTGTGTAGACTCACCAGTTTAACTGTTGTATTATAACAGTATTACATGTCAACACAGTGTGGTTATGACCTATTTATATAAAAACCAAATATTTAGTCAATTTACAGTCTTAATTTAATCTTTGTACACCTTGCATTTTTAAAAGTGCTTAAATAGTACTATATTGCAATAAAATGTAGTGATATCATAATTAACCAGCCATTAAAAACTTACTTCTACATACATGGTAGCATGGGCTTGTATGCTACGTTTTCTTGGTTCTAGAGCGCTGTCCTGGAACAGCGGTTCTCGGGCAGACCCGTGAATTGAGAAGGATGGCTCGCTGGTGGAACCGGGGATGCCGCTTCCCTGCATCAGAGCACTGCAGCGGCTGGGCTGTCAAAGGCTTACTGTGCTGTTGCCATGAAGCAAGCCCTGCTAGCAGGGCAAAGCCAAGGCACTGCAGCAAGCTTAGTACTCCCTGAAGATGGGAGGAAAAAAACCTTACTCCTTGAAAGTAATCATCAGTCTGGACAGTAGTGTCCCTGCTGCGGGAACTGACTTCATGGTTCTGGTATTAGGATACAGCCTTTCTTTAGAAATGCAAGTAACTGAGAAAGCAGGAATCGTGGATTGTTGTAAGAAACGCAGCAGCCAGAACAGCAAGTACAACCTCGTTCCTCTTTATTCTCTGCAAAGGAGCTGCCTCATGGAGTAGCACCCAGCTCCACAGGCCTGGTCGCAACACCAGCTACCAGCTGTTGTCAGCCCGTACTAAGGATGCACAGTCACTGCCCTGGCCCAGCTGCTTCTTGCGTTCCCTGACCGCTGCTGAAAGGGGGAGGGAAGAGAACAGGGAGGTCAGTTCGGGCACGGCTTTGTGAAGGTCAGTGCCGTCTGCTGGCTGGAGCCGAAAGCAGAACAGTGCTGGAGAAGTGGGAAAAAACCACGCTTGTTGTCTTGAGACTAACTGTCAGTAAAGTCCTTAATAGCATCTTCTGAAAAAGCTGTCTTCGTACTCAATTTTTAATCTGTGTTGAAAGCCAGCGTTTTTTAAACCTTGCTGCTTTTTGCTTTTTTTCTTGCCCTTAAAAAGAAAAAAAAAAAAAGCTGTTAGTTACCATTTCCTTAGCCCATCTACTGGAGAAGCAGCAATCCATTGATAACTGCAGCATTGCAGAACAGAACTGACTGGAAAGTTGATAAACTCCCGATCATCGTTCACATACAACAGCTGGCTTCCACTGGCCGGGGGTACTGACTTGCGCCAGTCTCCGTCAGAAGGTACAGCAGCGCTTTCACTGCTGAAAAGCGGACCGCCTGCTGAGGATCAGTGACTGCTGCCGCTAGCGCCGGTGAGCCTCACGCACTGCGCTTGTGTGGCAGAGCGTGGCTCTAACCACCACTGGCGTGTGCGAGTCTGACATTCTGTAATGTCATTTTTTATGAGGAGAAACAGGCGCGATTTCCCTCTGCTCACACAGAAGCTCGGGGATCTTGGCATCCCTGCTTTAAGTTTTACACGTATCTGAAATTACTTCCAACAGCTCAGGGTTTGTAGGCTGAAACAACAATTAGTATTTATTTCAAGCAGCAAACACGGCTCTAGGCCCAGATGCTGCTTCTTAATGTACCAGAAATGAGGTCATTTTTTCAAGTTCTGTCTCATACACCCACTCAGGCTCTAGCGCCCTGCTGCCCTTCCCTTACTGTCAGGTTCTTTGAGTAAGAAGAGAGCAAGATACAGCCCTCTGTAACACGGTAAAGCTTCTTTTTTTTTTAAAGTGTACCTTAAACCACATAATGTAGTACTTACTTGGACTTTTTATACTCACCCCAAGATTTGTCCACAAACTGAACTGCAGCTTTTTTGACTGGGTTCTTCTTATTTTCAAGGGAAAAAAATTCATTTGCTGAAATGGAGACGAGTGTTAATTACTAAGCATAACAGAGACAAATATAGATGCAGACACACCTCAGGAAAACTGCTTACCCTGTGCCCGGTTGGTGTCTGGTCCGTAGAGATGAGTGTTTAAAAAGTCTTTGGCAGCGTCTTGGTGGAGGCCTGTTAAACTCTGATCTTTTAAGCACACAGCTGTATACTTTCCTTTTGACCTAATTAAATCAAGAGATGTAAATCCCTGTAGCACAGTTACAGAACAACAGACACGCTAGTCGGTGCTTTGCTACTTGAGCACAACAGCGGCCGGCGCTGGTTTCTGATGCTCAGCCAAACTTTGCAGCAGTATTTAAAAAAAAAAAAAAAAAAAAAGGGAAAAAAACTCTCCAATTTACCAAATTGTC